AGGGCTCACGCGCAGCCCCGCGCGCGCCCGGCGCACGGCTCATGGGGCTGATGGCGCCAGTTTTCTGCCCTAGGGAAATACCTGGCGGATAACTAACGACGCGACGCGGGACGGCGGCACCACCGAGTTTATCCGGCCCCGGGGAGCGCCGGCCTCTCGCAGCGTCTCTCTCTCGCTCTCTCTCTCTCCTCCCCCCATCGGGAAAAGCAACCACCGTCTTGACCCGCCCCGCAGTATTTACTTCTAGGTGTAACATTGTTAATGGTTTTAACCTGTAATTATCGTATTTGTAAGCGGTTCTCCTCCCGGTACGGCTGTATCGCGGCAGTTAGGCACTCGAGTCGTAGCGTCCCCCCCGTTCATGCCGTGGCTGTGACTCCCGCTGTGGTACCCACACCCCATCGTAGTCCCGTGCGACGGCACCCGCTTGCAGAGCTACACGCGCTTGGTCTCTCGCTCTCCGCCCCGCGGCGCCTCGCCGCAGCAGGCGCCAGGTTTTCAGGTTTTCGGCCCCGTTTCGAGGTTCCTTGGCTTTGCTTTTTCTGCCTTTTTCCATTTTTTTCTTTCTTTTCTTCTCCCTGCTGCTTGGCAAGCCATGCTAGGCCCCATCCTCCTCGCGGGGCTCACGCTGCACCGGGATGTGGCCGGGAAGGGTGTCCCACCGCGACCCACTCTGCCTGGCCCAGTCCCAGTTCTGATTAACCTCAGGGCGCACCAGCCACGTGGCGCTGGCACCAGGAGCCCAGCGGCCCGGTGCCCCGGCACCGCTCCATGCAAGGATTTGGGAAGCAAACGCTGGCTCTCCCGAGCTGAATGCAGTGGTTTCTGGCGCGGGGAGGCTCAGTGTAGCACCCGGCACCCATCCTGGGTTTCGGGGAGGCAGCAGCGCGCGATGCACAGGGCGCACGCACGGACACGGGGCTGGCGCGGTGCGCGCAGTGGCCGCGGGGCTTTGCTCAGGTTTCCTCACGCTATAAACTGGGTCCCCTCGCTTGCAGTCCTGGCAAGGTCCCCAGGCAGACGGTGCCTTGCTGGCCCCATGCCCGCGCGCCGAGCCCCGCTCCCGCCATCCCAGCCCTGCCAGCCCCATTTTTATAGTGTAAATAACTACCGGAACGCGGATAGCTTATGCCAGGGCTCGTGTTTGAGGGGGAAAAAGGAACGTTGTGGCTAATCGGCAGGTTGAGCACACATGTGGAGATGCGTGCATGGAGAGGGGACCCTGCGGCACTCACTCTGCAGGCAGTGGCCTCCCGACGTGCTCCCCTGACAGCAAACCGCGCTCTTGAAAAAGTGCATCTCATTGCCAGATTTTTTATTTTATTTTTTATTTATTTCCCCCCCTCACCCTCCGGCCAGCCGGCTCTCCCAGGCTATCGCTCTAGATAAGCTATATCCTCTTCCCCACGCCCCCATCCCCATGTATAAAATGTTTATAAATATTTGTGGATGAAGATACACAAGTCTATTTTTAAGATTTAAGTTGGGTAAGTTAATGGCTGGCCTTTTCTGCCTCAACGTGCAATGAAGTGTATTACCCGTTAGTCTCCGATGGCCCAGGTCGTGCTTCGCCCTGGGGGCCCCTTTGCTGCTCCCCATCCCGTCCGTCCATCCCTCCCCGGAGAGGAGCCGGCGGCCCCGCGCCTGGGCGCGCGCAGCAGAGCTTGTCCCCGGTCCCCTGAGTGTGTTGTATTGGCTCCTTGAAGATAATCATGAAACAACATATTTTCAATGTTAACTTGCCTTATAGAATAGGAGACGGATCTGTGGATATCATTTTTTTTGTAAATAATGTTTTTTATAAATGTCTCGCCGCCATTCTCCCCCCGCCCTGTCCACCAAATCTGGAATATGCAATTACTGAACACGGCACCGGAGGAGCCCCCTTCCAGCAGGGTTCATGGAGCCCCTCCGTAAGAACCACACTTGATACCCGCCTACGTTGTAATTTAAATGTGTTTTTTTTTTCTCTCTCTCCTTGAAATTAAACAAAAACCTGAAAATACCATTCCCTTTGCGTCCATCTCTCTTCCCTGGATGGCAGGTGCTGTGCCGGAGGGACCAATGGGGATTGGGGGGACACATGGGGACCGAGGGGACACGTGGGGATTGAGGGGACACATGGGGATTGGGGAGCATTCATGGGGCGATCTATGGGAATGGGGGGGATCTATGGGGTTTGAGGGGGACCCACAGGGATGGCGGGGACCCACGGAGCTTGCGGGTTTGGGGCACTTCTCCTACGGGTGCTTTCCCTTCGGGAGGACATGGGGCTGGCATGCAGACACAGTCCCCCAGCGCTGCTTTTATAGGGACACCACAGAGAGCCCCAAACACACCCCTATATTTCCACAAGCCAGCAGGCACCAGTGCAGTGAATTGCCTGTTTTATTAATGCTGGTCCGCGAGGCCGCAGCGAGCGCGCGGCTCGCGGCCCCGCGGCGAG